ATATATATATATATATATATATATATATATATATGAAGACTCCACGGGAAGAAACGGCAGGGTCACATTTTGAAAATTTTGACATTTTACACTTTTTAACTTTATAAACAATATTATTATATATTTTATGTGAATTCAAATCAAAAAAACAATTGGATGTACCTTTATAGTTTGATGGAACTTTTTCAAAATAATCGCAAGTGATTTGGTTAATGTAAATTAAATAATAAAAATGGCGATACTTGAAATACCAATAGAAATGCTAAAGAAATCCAAGAAAAGAAAAAGTAAGGAAAGATTGCGTGAAATTATAAAGAAACAAAGATATAAAACATCGCATAAAACAGGGCTTGGATGTAACTGTATAAGGCTGAAATGTTTTCCTAATGTTAAAGAAGAAGATAGAAAAGTGTTAATAAGATATTTTAACTCTTTATCCAGCAAGGATGCTCAAGATTCGTATCTTGCAAGTTTAATAACTTTAAACAACGTTTCAAGAAGAAGACCACGAAACATTAATTCAAAAGGTTATAATAGCAGTTGCACATATAAACTTTTTATTACAAATCACGAGATATTCGCGAGTTCGTTTGTTTATGTTTGTTTTTCTGCGTTTATTTCAATCTTTGGCATAAAGAAGGGAAGATTGGAGACCATTAGAAGAAGCCTTTTAACTACAGGTAAATTACATATTTTTATTGAATACAAAATGACTGTTTTAGTGGAAGTTATCTTATATATAAGTTTTTTTATATATAAATTTTTTTTCTCATTATAGGTCACTCTCCCCATGATAAAAAAGGTAAACACAAGAATCAGTATAACAATTTTACTCCTCAACTAAAAAATAAAATATGTGATCACATTTCTTCTTTCAGAGGTAGACAGTCCCACTACTCTTAAAAAAAAAAATAGGCGACTATATCTTCCTCAAGAATTAAATATAACCAAGATGTATGACTTGTTTAAAATCAAGTATGCAAATGATAAATTGTCATATGAATCTAATCGCAACATATTTAACACTAGTTTTAACATTTCTTTTGGGTACCCTAGGACTAACACATGTTCAAAATGTGATGAGTTTAAAATTAAAATTGATGCAATAAAAATTGAACTATCTTTTAATTCAGAATGTACAAAGCCTGAACAACAATTGCATGAGCTTGAGTTACTGAAAAAACAGCACCACAAAGATGCAGAAACATTTTATGTCAGGAAAAGTAAGGCTCGGTTTAAAGCACAAAGGGAGTACAAATTTGAGGCAATTGCTTTTGATTTCCAAAAAAATCTTAACTTACCAAATCAATCAACCAACGACTTTTACTACAAACGAAAATTAGCATTTTATTCATTTAATATTCACGTGCTTTCAAGTAATAAAGTTTATTTGTATTGTTATGATGAAACTATAGCTAAAAAAGGGGCTGATGAGGTAACTTCGATGTTATATGATTTTTTTATAAAACATTTAGACAAAGAAATTCAATCTGTAGAGCTATTTTGTGATTCATGTGGTGGCCAAAACAAAAACAATACATTAATTCGTTTTATGGATTTTCTTGTAGATGAAAAAAAAAGGTTTGACTATATTAAAGTTACATTTCCAGAACGTGGTCATTCTTTTATGCAATGTGATAAAGATATGGGATTAATTAATTGCAAAACACCCACTAGTGATCCATCAGATTGGATTAAAACATTCAAAAATGCTCGTAAAAACCCCACTCCGTTTCATGTTATAGAATTAACGCAAGGTATGGTTAAAAGTATAACTGATTTTATAAGACCATTTTATAAGAATAAATGTCCAATTCCAACACGTCCTCTTCGTGAAATTTGTTTCAGAGGAGACTCAAGTGGCATTGTATTTAATCGTGATTGGTCGAGTGGATTATTGTTGAAAACTAATTTAAAAAATAATAGGAAGAACACTATAAATAGTGAGATCCCCATTCTGTATAATGCAAAACTTTGAATCTCTGTGGCAAAGTACAGAGATTTACTAGTATTAAAAAGGTTTTTATCATATGCTCAGTTTTACGATTCTTTGCCATACAATCAGGAGGTTATTGAGACATTTCATGAAATTATTAATTCTGAAAATGAAGAGTAAATAGACTTCTTTTTCGATTTAAAGTTTGTTTTTAGTTATTTTTTTCTTAGTGTTTTTTGAAAAAATCTATAATCTTCAATGATTCTTCTTTGCACTTAATATACAACAATTTATATAATTAATAATCCCAAGGTATTGAATATATCTTTTGACTATTAGTCAGGGTATGAAAATAAAAATTCAGATCAAATAAATTCTGAGTTGTTTGAAAACCTATAAAGTTTTAAATCCCCTTTATTATCAGGAAAGAAACTTTGCATTAAATAACTTTTTGCTCACAGTTTTGTGACACCTATATAGGTATAGTTATATAGGTATTTAATAGGTTAACCTTTAAATAAAAAACAAATTGAACTTTTTTATCAACAGTGATATTTTTGAATGAAAGATTTATAATAAGAACTAAAGTCATTCGTAAACGAGAACTAGAACTAATACTATATTCATTTTCTATACAAAATATCTACAGACAACTCTTGATATCTCGAACCTGCAAGGGACCGATTAATTAGTTTGAGATTAAAGAATTTTTGAGTTATCGAGAGTATAATCCATAAATTAGGGTTCGACTGGATTCAAAAAAGTTTGAGATATCAAGTATTAAAGATATTGAGAGTTGATTGTAAGTGATATTTTTGTGCACGAAAAAAGAACAAAAATGAAACCTTTTGTTAACGAAAACTATAATTATTTTCTAAACGAAAATATCAACACTAAACAGTATTTTTAATTTTAGTTCAACCCCATAATCTTTTAAATGATCAATGTTTGGTCTTGGTGGTTAGGTTGTTTGATAAAATTAGCTTCTGCCTAATTTAATTTATAAGCTAATAAAAAATAATTCATACTTTAGCTTTTTACTTGATCTTAAAACTAATAAAATAAAATAAAACATTTTACCGGGGAAAAAACGAGTCCACAAAATACATCACTTAAAAAAGAAAGTATATCACGTAAATTTTTATTTTTAAATTAGAAATGCAACTTTAATTGCATAAAAAATGGTCATTTTTGTAATATATCTTAAAAATTTTAATCTTTTCCCTAAAAATAAAAAAGTTATATAGGTTTAAAAGTTTAAAAATGAGTTATCGCAAAATGAGAAAATGTGACCCTGCCGTTTCTTCCCGTGGAGTCCTTATATATATATATATATATATATATATATATATATATATATATATATATATATATATATATATATATATATATATATATATATATATATATATATATATATATATATATATATATATATATATATATATATATATATATATATATATATATATATAAACTATAATATACATATGGCTAAAATATATATTTGACTATAATCTTGTCGGGTCAGGTTTACCCTGCTATTCGTAACATGTAACCCATCACCCAATACTGTTGTTGCTGATGACTCCAATGTTCATCACAATAAATGGCTTGTCTTTAGTGTCACTGATTCTAAATACATTAAAGCCCATCATTTTTGTCTTTCTCAACCTCTTACTTAAGTAATCAACTTTTAAACTCGCTTTTCAAACAACTTGAATCATTTAACTTTTGTACTCAACTTATTTCTTGCTTATGATCCTAATCAGTGCTCAGTTTCTCAACATTACCCTTTAGGTGCGTCTGCTCACAGTTTGATCTCCCTTAAACTATTATCTCATTCTACTTCATTATAATAATTCCTCTAACATTGTACCTCTCACAACTACCTTTTAACTGACTTGGAAACTTGACGTGTTTTTCTTTGTATCAGCACTTGGGTAGAAATCTTTCGTCTTCCTGTTGACCAATGTGCTTCTAACAAAACTTCGTGGATTTAGACTGGCATGGAATTCTTTAATCCCTCTCGACCGTTCAGATCTTGCCTCACTCTTCTCTATGGTTTTTTCACATTGTGCTGTTGTAATTGCTAATCGATACCATTACTTCCATATCTATCAGCAAAATATTTCTGCAGAAAACAGATGTCTGTCTATTACTGTTAGAAACCATTATAAAAAGGCTTTGTCTAACGCCACTGCCCGCTATTCTCAGGTCATGAAAACTTGTATTTCATCACAAAAATTAGTTTCTTATGACTTCTAAAAAATCTTTAACAGTATCTATGATAAGGGCAAATATGTAACTCCATCTCTTGTGTATGGTTCAGACTTTGTTACCTCACCAAAAGACAAAGCTGAGTTATTTAATAAGAAATTTTCATTAATATAATCTCTTGATTCCAATAGTTACGTTTTACCAGATATTGACGTCAAACAGATTAAACCATTGTTTTACATTCGCATCATTCCAGCTTCTATATCTAAAATGATTTCCTGCTTAGACTCTTCTATAGCTTGTGGCTCAAACAACATACCTGTTATAGTCTTGCAGAAGTTTTCTTCAGAGCTGTCGTCTATTTTTTTTAAACTATTCAATCAGTGTTTATCAGAGTCTTGTTTTCAAACATGCTGGGAAGCAGCATCTGTAATCTCTATTTTTAAAAATTCTGGAGAGCAGTTTGATTCGTCTAACTACCGTCCCATTAGTCTTTTTTTTATAATAAACAACGTTTTTGAATCTTTATTTATCAAACAATTTATATCTCTCCCAACAGGCATTTGTTGGTTTAAAATTGGTTTAGATCACGTTTAGATTGATCTAAACGTTTAGGAACTTATTCTAAACGTGTTCTGAATATTTAATTTGCGTTGAAAAGCTAAATCAAACGATTTCCGTACGGAACTAACTTAATTAAATTAGTTTCGCACAAAATGTGTCGGACATTTTGAATCTTTCATTATGATTAAAAATTAGAATTTCTAATGAATATTAAATTATGTAATAAATGGTTTAGAAAAGATAAAAGAAATTTGTTTTTAGTATTATATTGTGGCTAATGAAGCCGCTAAAAAGTCCTGTAAGTTCTTCGATAATGTTGTATAAGCAATTAAAAGTAATTTTAAGTACAGTAACTATGTATTTTGATAATTCTTTTAGTTATTGCTACTAATATAGCAGTTTCAAAAAAGTAGCAGCAGTTTCAAAAATGTACCAGTTTCAGCATTTTTTTAAATTATTCCTTAAATTGTTTTTTCTGTTTGGTTTTTAACAACGCTATAGAACGTCTACAGTTAACTCTTAGCTTCCTAATTTTTCTACTTTTACTAAAAGTAGAAAAATTATGAAAAATAATTACCACTTAAAATGCATTAATTTTTTCTAAAAGTTTTAGAGAAAAATTATGCATTTTAAATGGTAACTACTTTTTAAATAACTAAACAAAATTATTATTTTTGTTTACATTAAGACCTAACATCTATTTGTTTATGTCATAAACAGGTCAATATAACATCTTTCATAAATTATGATAGATGTTATATTGATCGAATAGCAATGTTACAATATTTATACTTTTAGTGCAGACAGTGCCAATCAAAAATTGTGAGGTTCAAATATTTATATAATGGAGCTTTAGTTTTAGTGTAGGGTTTTAGTGTAAACTAAAAAATATTTTTAAAAATTTAAGTATTACTCATACTCCTATATGATAACCATTAAGAGAAAATAAACTTACTTATGTCTGATATGATAGATTATTATATTGTATCATTTATTTTCTATTTAGTAGAAAAATTAACATGGCTTGAACAATAATATATATATACTATATATAATATAGCTATATTATATAATTTTCTGAAATCCACGCAAATATATTTTTTATTGTTAATTAAGTTTTGCGTGTTTAATTTCATTTAATATTTTACATACAGTCCAGTCAGTTGCAACAACAATTTAAGCAGCAGGAAACAACCAAGTACACATCCAAGTGGTAAATTGATTTTTTGTGACGTTTTTACTCCTTTAAAGTTTAAATTTTCCTAAAATAATAATTAATTTAATGGCTATTTCTGTAAAGATCATTCTGTAAATAAAAACTGCAGTGATTTTTAAAACTAATAGTTATTTTTTTAGTAATCACAAGATAAACTGCAAATTCTGTTCTTTTAGATATGATTCTAATAGTTGAACATCTGTCAGATGTTTACCTTTTAAATCATTATCTAATTGCTCAGGCTTATGAAAAGTTATTTATAAAAATTCAACGCTTAAAAATAATGTAAGATCAAAGGTAATTCCTATTATATTTGAAAGGTATGTTGATGATTGGTTCGAGTCTTTAAAGTTTAAATTAGTTAAAAGAGAGTTCAAATTGTTCTGTTTTTATCTTATGCTCTATATCTAAAAGCTATTTTAATATTTATTGCATTATTTTTCATTTATTTTATTATGTTATGAAAGACCTACCAAGCTTGAAATTTTACTGGTTGAAATATATAGTATGTATATGTATATCATCCTTTGGAATTAGGAAAACTAAAGTTACCAAAAAAAGCTAAAAAACTAGACGACTAAACTTATTTTTAATTATTATTAATTTGTAAGTAAACTTATTAAGTTCACTTACAAATTAATGTTATGTGTTGATGTACCTTCAACCAAATTAGTGTTAACATTTTAGCAAAATGTCATATTGCCAGGCTGTTTGGTTGGAAGAACCAAAAGCTTGATATTTTATTGAGTTGTTATTTTAGTTTGTGATGTTATAATTTTTGTTCACAAAATGTTTAGTAATTTACTTTTTAAATTTATTTGTCATTGCTTTGGATAAGATGTTTTGTTATTCCTTTTACAGATAATGAGGATTGCAAAAGTTTTAAATATCAGAAACTGAAGAAGGAATTGATAATTAGCAGATAACAAAAAAGCGCAAAAGTACTGATTATACAACTCTTTTAAAGGTTTCATTTTAATTTGTTAATGTTTATATAGAAACTAATAATATATAAGCTGAAAATAATAACATAATTAATCCATAATTGTGCATTTTTCTAATCTAAATTAATTTTTTTTTTTCAATTTCTACAGAGTTAATATTACTAGTTTACTAGTTACTAATGCAATAACAGTAGAAATGATTATGGAAAAATTAAACTAAAATTTAAATAAATTGCTTGTTAAAGCAAATAATATTATATATATATATATATATATATATATATATATATATATATATATATATATATATATATAAAGCAAGTTTTATTTAGTAAATGATTAACCATTTTTATGGTATAGTAAAATAGTTTTTATTTTTCAGTTGAGGAAGAATTTTATGTGGAATGTTAATGCAAAAGGTACAAATATTGACAGGTTAGCTAATTTGATGTTACAATAAACATGAAATAAAGTTTGTGAAGACCTTAGTTCCAAAAATACTTGCATGCATTATTCATGCATGCTATATTATAATATAGCATGGATGCATTCAAGTATAAAAAAAAAGTTACAAATGTTTAATTGTACAAAAAGGTTTTTTATGTGGTAACGCAAGTATATTCAATTGATTATGTAAGTAAGTATGTATGTACTTTACATCTTTGAAGACTAATAATAATTGTAATGAACATATCTCAAACAATATACACTCGGATTTACATTTTAGTTAAACCATCACCACCTCCACAGCCACCTTATCTCAAGCATTCAATTGCATTCTAAGTTATCTTTATTCAAATCAAGTGTGACTACTATACCAAAAGACTGTAGAATGGGCCAATCAAGTAAGATGTCAAAATTTATATCTTTTATATAGAACTCTTTTTCTTTTAGATAAACCTGTTAATTTTATGACTTATGAACATATTTAGCAATGTAAGCCTTTTAGGATAGACTTTTTAAAATCAAATTTACAATGTTTCTTATTCTGAAAAACATCATCTAGATTTTTTTACTGCCGCTTTCGCACGCATGTAATTGTTTATTATGTTTATAAATTTTATTTATTGATTCAAACCTTTCTTTTCCAAAATAATTGTTTGGTAGTATTTTATTTTCAGGAATTTGTCTGCCATGTTCTAAAACTTTGTCACAAGTAAAGGGCAGGATTTAAAAGTCGTGTTTTTCAAACGGAATGACCTGTAAACTAAATCAGAAATTTAAAAAAATAAAAAAACATTTAGAAGTGTGCAAAAATACCTAACAAACTTACTATAAATATATATTTAATTTTGAGATAAGATATTGTTAGTAGAACTCTAAAATTTTAGTTATAGGCATTAAAAACTTGTGTCGATAAGTTCCTTCCGTGACACAAGTTTTAATGGCTATAACAAAAAAGTTATTGTTCCATATTCAATATCTATACCTGAAATTAACTAAATCTTTATAGGTAGCATGTTAGGTATTATGACCCTCTTCTAAGCGTTAGTATTTATTTTTTTTTGAATTTTCAATTTAGTTTATAAAGGTCATTCCTTTTAAAAAAAAAGACTTTTTAATCCTGCCCCTATGAAAAACAGATATAAATTTTTTTTATTATTAGACAAAAAAAGCCGTTATTGGTTTAAAAAATATCTACTCCGTCAGGGTTATCGCGTTTTTCTTTAAAAATGTTTTCTGTTGATTCCTTTATGTATTTAACTTAAAACCACACGGATTGAGGAGTGCAATTGGCCTATAAAATTTTATTCTGATTTCAAAATATTTTAGATTAACCATTTGTTCCGCATGCGGATTTACGTTTTCAAACCTTTTCGTGATCAGGATTCAAAGTACAATTTTGATAATAGCTCCTTGCCTAATATTTTGATATTTTTGTTAAAGTGGATTTCGAAATTAATTCTATTGCTTCTTCTGCTGTTTAACGTACTGATTTTTTTTTTTGGTGAAAGTATAGTTTTTTTAGTTTTAGTTGAACAAGGTTTTTTTAGAACAAATACTAAATCACGTTTCTTTTGCTGACGTGCCATACCTGCTGCTTGCAATATAAGAGATATTTCATCCCTATTATCCCGACAACTTTGAAGCTTTCAGTTTTTTGGCCCGATCTGATTTTTTGATGTATTATAAACTTGGTCGTCCAGAAGATTTTGATGGATTGGCATACTACAATATGTTGATGGAGTTGCGTCATCAAAAAATGTAAATTCTCTTTTCAACCAATCTGATTTTTTACTTTTAAATTGGCCCCATGTTCTTTGATATCTGATCATTTTTGTTTAAAAGTATTGTACAAACTAAAAATTCTTTTGAAAGTTATTGCTAAGAACTACATTACTATCATTTCTAACTATTTAAATGTTTTTTAAAACTTTTGAGTTTTTCTATTTTTTTTTTTCTTTCTTTTCCTGCCATACATTAAATAAATCCTTGTATTTGAAACGGCACATCACTGCAAATAAACAGATATATTTTTAATTAGGACAACTAGGGGCAAGTTGTGAAAATTGAAATATATTTTTAAACATTAACAAAATTCAATCGTATAAAGAGAAATACGTTGGGTTTTTTAAAATTAATTTTAAAGTTTTGTAAAAAGTAATGGAAGAAGAAATACTTCTACGCGACTGCTTATAAATAATTAACATAATAATGCAATGTTTTAATTTAATTAATTATTTTTAAAAAGTATAAACTTGTATTTATATAATTCATATTTCAAAAATCAAAAATAATAATGATTTAAATAGTTATGTTTTACCAAGGAGGTTTAATAAACAGGATACGCCGTAGTATATACTTTATATAAAACGCGGTGAAGATAGTTTTGAAAGTCAGACGCCATCTTGGTTAACCCAAAATATTGTTATGTTTTGCCCAAAAACTTGATTATTTTAGCAGAAAACTTTGCTTAAATGGGCAGCCGTGGTGCAGTGGTAGCGCGCTTGCCTCAAAAACGTAAGATCCGTGGTTCATGCCTCACTTCTGAGCGAGTTTTGCGACATCGGTTGGGAAGGAGGCGTGAATTTCCTATTAAATGCTCTTCCGCGGTGTTCTGTGATAAGACCGTATTGGCTTCTTGGGGCACCTTAATCAACTTAAAAAAAAAAAAAAAATCAAGTCAAGATTTTGATATAAATGATTGAATAATTTGCCAGTTGTTTCTGGGGTTGTAATATATTTCAAAGAATTGTTTGCTAACCGATTATCGGGTTGAGTTAAATCCAAAATATTGGAATACTGAGATTGTAAACATGCTTTTAGGAGATGCTATAACATACATAGTGTAAACATCTTATTTATATGTATATTACTTAATATACGTAAAAATTTGCGTACGTATGGTCACCTTAAGGTGACCATACGTACGCGTTTGGCGCATACAGTAAGCGTTTGACTGTAGTTTTGTGCGTTTGGGGTTTGTACGCGTTTGTGTAAGCATTTATAAGTTAAAAAAAAGCAAACAAAATTCAAAAAATAATATTTTTTATAATATAGTTAGATAACATAATGAATAAACTTCCATTTAACTTAACTATAATACACAAAACAAAATCAATTAAATTCAAAATTTAATGAATTAAATTAAAAAATTTAAAAAAAAAAAAAGTTTTTAAAATTCCCATTAGAGAATAAAAAAATTTAAAAAAAAAGCGCTCTTTTTACGCAAATATTGTTAGCTTGTAATGTCTTTTTTCCCTAATTATACAATAGTTACGGAAAAAATAAAACTTTGCAATTTATCTGATGATATTAATACGCTAATTTAATATTATTAGTCGAAGTACGTCATTTTCTAGGCTTTTCTATTTTAAAGTAGTTTCTAGGCGCGGTTTTTTTTTTAATTTTATTTACTAACAACCACTGATCTCTATAATAACTTATTATAGAATATTTTAGAATATTATAGTTATTATAGAGATCAGTGCTAACAACGCGTATTACGGGTTGCTTACTGCTAGTTTTTATAAGAAGTTCATAAATATAAGCGTTCATAAAAAAGTAATTTAATGTTTTTATAACTATTAATACATCAAATTCAAAAAATGAATAGTAAGAAGAGATGCTTAAATACATTTAATGGTAATTGTATGAAAATGTTTCCTTTCTTAACGCAGATCAAAGATGAGCTCTTCAAATGTACTATTTGTCAAAGCCTATTTGACATTAGTAGTTGTTGACGGTCTGAAATCAAAGATCATTGTAAATCTATCAAACACAAAATGGCATTAGATGCTTTTATATCGTCAAACAAAATCACAAAGTTGATGAAGAGTCAGAGCTTTGGTCAAAATGAAAAAGTATTAGCCATTCAAGAAGGAACATTTGCATTCCACTCAATCAAACACAACCATAGCTTTAGAAGTGCTGATTGTACATGAAAGCTAATTTAGAAATTTTATAATCCAAAATTTACTTGTGCGCATACAAAATGAGAAGCAATAATGGTTAACGTGTTCAAGAAATATTGTGAAACTAACTTAGAAAATGCTTTATTAAAAGCATCATATGTGTCAATTATTTCTGATGCATCAAACTACAAGGACGTTAAAATGTATCCAATTTTGGCTCGTTATTTTGATGTTAAAAAGGGAGTGCAAAATCAGCTGGTAAACATAGATTGTGTAAACGGAGAAACATCAAATATTTTATCAGAAGTTTTCTTTAAATGCATTAGTGCTAACAATGTTTCTTCAAATGTTTTAGCTATTTTTGCAGATAAGACCAATACCAATTTCGGAGGTTTAAAACGAAACGGCAATAACTATATTCACAAAAAGTTAAGCTAAACCGCAAAATTATTGGTATCGATTACAATGCTCATATTTTATCAAACGCAATAAATACTGCATCTGGTTTGTATATTTATTGATGAGGAGATAACTACTCTTCAAATTTATATTTTTTTTAACCGTTTTACTGTTCGAGTTTTTAGTTTGGAAAATTTCTGCGATGAAGCTGGTTTGGAATATCAAAAATTACTAGGATTCTCAAAAGTTCGTTAATTAGCCTTACTTCCAGCTACCAGAAGAGTACTTAAGTTATATCAGCCACTAAGATCATACTTTTTAAGCATAGAAAATTGTCCGAAATATTTATTTGACTTTTTCAATAACAAAATGGGTGAAATACTATTGTTTTTTGTTCACAGTCAAGCCAATGTTTTTTATAACACAGTAAAAAATATTGAGAATGATAACATTTCTGCTGCTGAAGTTGCCATGATATTAAAGGGTTTGAAAAACCAGATTATATCTAGAAAAGAAAAATTTCTAACTTTCATGGTAAGACAGCATTTGCAAGTTACCGAAGAAAGTAGTCATCATTTGAAAAACTAATTTCTAAAAAAAATAGACATTTTTTTCAGTGTCTGTCTAGAGTATATAGATGAGTGGACGCGTCACTTTAATCAGGTTGAAGTTTTTAGGCGATCTTTACTTAACTGTAAAACTGGATGGATTGAAATGATTGAAAATATAAATTTTTTGAAAAAATCAATAGAAATCACATTCGATGGCAATGAATTGTTCGACGAAAGTCGGAGAGCTAATTTATATTGCACAAAGTAAAAGTTTTCTTCTTGGAACTCACAGTCTGTTGAATGTGACATGCGATGAATTGAAATTTTTTCCATTTCGAAAATAAGCACGTTCCTTATAACAATCACGTTCCTTGTACAAACTTAGAGCAATTGGTTTCGATTGCCAATGATATTTGGACGAAAGGAAAATCCCAACATACAATGAAAACTTTGGCAACTATTTTGTTTTTTAAATTTATTTTAAGTAAATATAGCAGCTCAGAATTTGCTCACGAAAATTGGAAAAGATGACATGTTGCTGGAAACAAATCATTCTTATGAAAAATATTTGTGGTTT